TCTCACCAACCCCTTCTCCGACCACGAGTTCGTAACAACAACCGTCAATTTTAGTAAAACCAGGAGAGAACCAGGATACTGGAAATTAAACTGTTCTCTTTTAGAAATAGAAGTGTATAGGCAAAAAATTGAACTCTCAATTAAAGATTGGCAAACTAAAAAATGGTCCTACAATTCAATTTTAAAATGGTGGGACGACTGCAAACTTTTTGTTAGGGTAGAATTACAACATATATCTATTCAGGAAAGTGCGAAAAACAAAAAACAGATCAAAAGGATTGAAAACGAAATCCAGCGGGAGCGACAAAACGCCAACCCGAATTTAGATAGCATCAAAGAAAAACGCGATGCTCTTTTCTTGCTCCATTTCCCAGGAGCGTTTATTCGCACGAAGCAAAAACTAGTTGAAGAAGGAGAAAAACCTTCAAAATTTTTGTACAGTTTGGAAAAAACTCAACAGAGGAACAAGTCAATTACCAAAGTTCGCAAGAACGACGGAACATTGACGAGTGAACCTGGTGAGATTTTAAACTCCCTTGTTTCTTATTACAAAAACATCTACACCAAAACGAATTTATGTAAAGACAGCCAAAACTATGTCTTGTCACACATCACTAAACATTTGAGTGATGATGAAAACCAATTATTAAACACCCGCCTAACCGGCGCGGAGTTAAAAGAAGCCCTTTTTAAATTTGAAAACGGAAAATCCCCGGGCTATGACGGACTTCCAGCTGAATTTTATAAAACTTTTTGGCACATTTTAGAAAAAGATATTGAAGAACTTGCTCACGAAATACTTTTCGTAGAAAAAAACACCAGCCACTCTATGAAAAGATCAATAATTTCACTAATTCCCAAGCAGAGATCTCACCGAATGTAAAAATTGGAGGCCCATATCCTTAATCGGCGCTGATTACAAAATAATCACAAAAGCGCTGGCCCTAAGACTTGCAAAAGTAATGGGGAAAATTATAGAACCAAATCAAACTTGCGGAATTCCAGGTAGAACAATTTTCTCAAAGTTACACCTAGTCCGTGATCTAATAGATTACGCCGAAATTAAAAATCTACCTAGTTTCATTTTGTCAATAGATCAAGAAAAGGCGTTTGACAAAGTCGATCGCGCGTTCCTGCTGCAGATTCTCCAAAAATTCAACCTCGGAGAAAATTTTATATCTTTTATTAACACCCTGTATTCAGAAATTTCGGCATCTGTTCTGAATTGCGGATTCTTGTCAGCCACTTTTCCAACCGAAAGGGGAGTTAGACAAGGAGACCCCCTCTCACTTTTGTTGTATGTCTTTGTCGCCGTAGCTCTTGCTTTGGTGGTCAGAGCGGACAGCAGAATTGAGGGATTTCCTCTACCAGGAACATCGAAACCGCTTAAACTACAGCAGTACGCAGACGATTCGAACTTTTTCGCCAGGGACGTAAAATCAGTCCGCTTTTTTTTTGAAGCAGTAAAACTTTTTGAAAAAGCAAGTGGTTCAGTGATCAATGCCTCAAAAACCAAGGGTCTTGCTCTTGGGGGCTTTGATCCCAAAATGTACCCGGAATTGGACAACATAGAGTGGACTAATAACACCGGTTTCAATATTTTAGGTGTTACGTTTTACACCAGACTGAGTAATACTACCAACTTCAACTGGCTAGTAACTCTAAACAAAATAGAGAAAAAACTCAAGTTTCTGGGACTACGTACTTTGTCACTTAGGGGAAAGACTATGTTGATAAATACGTTAGCATTGTCAAAAGTGTGGTTTCTGGCAAACGTTTTGCCCGTTCCCGAATGGGTAATAGAACGGTTGCACAGTGCCATTTTCGAAAATCTGTGGCAAAAGACCAATTTCAACCCGGTCAAAAGAGAGACGCTTTTTTTTACCCGTCAAAAGCGGGGGTCTCGGAATTTTATCACCGAAGGAGCAAAGCCTTGCGCTCCGCCTCAAAACACTCTTTCAACTGAAGGAATGCGGAGAGGATAACACTCACGATAATTACTACTTTTCAAAGTACTGGTTAGCAAGTTCACTTATTAAATTCACAAACCAAAACCCAAGCTGGAACTTTTTAAAACAGAATAATTTTCCAAAACACTGGGACAACAAAATGTCTCAGTACTACAAAACAACTATTGAAGTTTTAGGCAAAAACGGGTCCCTTTTTAACATCCTCCTAAAATCAACAAAAAATTTTTACTTAGAAGTGGCAAAAAACAAAAAGACAGTTGTACCAGCAGAACTTTTCTGGAACGGTTCAACAAAAACAACAATGCCGTGGACCCAAATTTGGAAAAAGAATTTTACCTCCCAGGCATGCGAACCGACTCAAAACATCCTCTTTCGATTTTTGCACAACAGCCTACCTTCTGCGGCCTTGCTAGCCAAAAGCACAAGGCAACAGATTGTCCAAAACAACAAATGTAAAACTTGTGGTAAAATCGAGGACAACCTTCACATCTTTGCCTACTGCCCTCCTTCCGTTGAAATTTGGGAATATTTTAAACATGTATATAACTCCTTGACGTCCCAAACGGTTTTTTCGCCGATAAATTCGATTTTCTCAATCGGAACCGCGAATTTATCGGAAAAAAATCCTACCTCGCAACTGCTGTTGACACTCACTCAAACCATCATGAGCGAGATATGGAACAGCAGATGCCACCACATGTTCAGTAACATGAAAACTGACCCAATGGCAGTGATCAGGGTAATAATCAGGAAAATCAGGATTATTATTAATTTAAAATATAATTATCATGTCCGTAGAAACACTACGGACATTTTCTGTCAACTTTTTTGTATTAATAATATAATATGTCAAGTAGAGAACGGAAGACTGAAACTAAACATATGAGCTAAACGGACACCCTAGCTCAAATAAAAGAACTATATATTTAGTGAGGTTTTCCATTTCTCTACGAATTATTATTTTTACAACAAAATATTATTATTTATGATTAAAAAATCACTGCCAGCCTTTATTTATGAGTTATAATATCCCTTTTTAGATGTTTTCTCTGTAGCGTACGTAATGTGGTATTTGTGTGAAAGTCTTGTACTTTTCTGCTGTTATTAAGTTATAATTTCCTTTCTTTAAATAATAACTTCACGAATTCTTTTTAAAATATCTTCCTCTTTAAATTTTCCAAACCTTCGATTTTTTTTCCGCACAATGGCTTTCTATTATAAAAACAAAAAATACAAAAAAAAAAATATATAAAATCAAAAATAAAAAAAATATATAAAATACAAAAACACAAAAAAATATAAAATTTAAAAAATCAAAAATATATATATATATATATATATATATATATATATATATATATATATATATATATATATATATATATATTTAACCACGGTAACCATTGTATCACCATTCTTATAATTATTATTGTAACACGATTATTATTAAAACCATAGTAACAATTTTTCTTTTGAAAACGTGCACGATATATTGTAAAACTATAATTTTTAAAATTTTGAGTTAATGTATTTTTAAACAGAAATATTTCTTTAATTGTAAAGAGGATATTTTTTTTATTATACAGAAATAGTTTAAAAAAATTATAAATATTTATTATTTTGAAATAAATTTTATATAAAAAAAAAAAAAAAAAAAAAAAAAAAAGGCATCAATAAATTTTGACGCAAATTTTCGAATTTTCGGGGTTTCGGGAGTGGGTAAACTAATATGCAAATGGAAACAACTTTCCTCTCTGTTCTAGCTCTCGTCTCTATGACAGTTCGACAAGTTTGCAGATTGATGTCTTTTTTTCTGATTTTTTGAGTTTTCAACAGAGTCTTACATGTATTTTTGTAACAGTTTAATTTTTTTAGTTTACACGTTATTTTAATGTTGCAATTTGTATGCAAATGATGCGTGTATTTTTTAATGTTTGACAAATAGTGTAATTAAGGATTTTATCTAATAAATTAGATTCACTTAAAAAAAAAAAAAAAAAAAAAAAGTCATGAACCTCTTTGGGTTGGAAACGCAAAACTTTTTTGCAATCAACACACCTTTTGCACCGAAACATCAAACCCAAAATTATTCTTTGACATAAGTTTCTCCAGAAGTGACATCGACAATTCGAATGACGACAGATATTTTCTCCAATACCTGTCATCATACTTTTACTTGTAGTTTAATAAAATTTTACTCAAGTAACAGTACTTTAGTACTGAACTTTAAAATGGTAATTAAGTGTCGGTACGGTAATAAATTAATACGGTAAATTAATACGGTAAGTAAGTAAACGGTACTTTAGTACGGTAATTAAATGCAAGTTTTTTCACTTTTTTCACTTCTGGTTAACTTGGGGATTAAGTTGAAAGGCCTAAAAGCCGGCTTTGCCTATATGAAAATGTCTTTACCACCTCATTCAAAATAAAAAGACTCTTCAGTTATATTGAACGGATTTTCTAAGTGAAAGAAAGCTTTACAAACTTTTCTTTCTCACAAGCGATCTGAAATTCATAGGACTTTGGGTAGTGTGATTGGATCAGCTATATTGAAACCTAATTGTTTTACAAACGTTCATACGTTCATTGTATTTCATACGTGTTTAATATACATTCTGTTTCATACGTGTTTAATATACATTGCGATTTATACGTGTTTATAATACATTGTATTTCATACGTGTTTTATATACATTGCGTTTCATACAACTTTAATATACATTGTGTTTCACACAACTTTAGTATACATTGTGTTTCATACAACTTTAATATACATTGTGTTTCATGTGTTAAATTATATCAAAAGTAAATAATATTGTTGTTGGTACAAAAAAAATAACCGCTATTTTCATTTTATTTTTTAATTAATGAAACTGTAAAGTTATGTGCTATTTTTTTTAAGCTGTAAAGTTATGTGCTATTTTTCTTGCAAAGGCATTTTTATGATCAGAGTGTGATTGTTGAAGCAATCATTTTTTGATAACTAGTCTTGATGCTATTATATCCTATTTTAACTTTTCACTGTTTTAGTGCATTCCTGATAATATCGTGTTTAGCAGCAGCATGTGTTACTTCCATGTTCCAGTCTGATCTGTTAGAAAAAAGTCAACTTTTCTTAGTAATATTTTATACCGTAAAAAAATGTTTAATATATTTATAAATTAAAAGTATTCTTGTTTAATGAAATAAAAATTGTTATCTCCCGTTCATACTAATAATAAAACACGTTTTGTTTTAAACGCGTTTTAAATTGTTATTGATTATTAAATTAAAATTTATTTTGAAATTTATTTTTAAATTAAATTGTTATCGATATTTCAAAACGTTTCAAGTTACTTTTGACGTATTTCGATTAAAACGCATTTTTAAAAAAATATTAACAGAAACTCTTTGTTAACGTGTTTCACTATCAGCATGAACTTTTAAAACGTGTTTTACTACCAGCATAAACTTTTAAAACGTGTTTTACTATCGAAAAATTTAAATTTATCGAAAAAACATTTAATACTTTAATTCTTGTATTAAATTTTATTTTAAGGAAATATTCCTATTAGCAATTTTTATTTTGGAATTTGCACTCCGCGTATTTGGCTCAGGAGCAACCGGAACATATGGATCAAATGGAGGGCTAAAAAAGTACCTGCAAAGACCACATATGATTATTGGTATATAAATGTCATTGTTTTTTTTTATTAAACTTATTATTCTCATTAATTAGAAATGTGTCATTTGCATTTGTTATAATAGAAGCGTCCAACGTTCTTGACATATAAGCTTTGATATGCAAAGGCCTGTAACCAAAATTTTTAATTAATTTTTTAATTATTTAAATATGGAGAGTATTTTACTTTTGACTTTCCCATCACAATAAAAGTAAAAATAAAATTAAAAAATAACAATAATAAATAAATATTAAAATTTTCAGTGTACTTTTTAAAATGAAGTTTTAAATGAAGTATAGACCATTTTATTTGCTATTCAAGTATTTTTATTTGACTCCGGACATATTGAACAAAATATTAGCGGTGGCGCTATCAGTACTTTTGTCTTAAAAAGAACTACGAATTGTGGCGAATCTGAACAATTAAAGTTTAGTTTAATTAAGTCTTACTAAAAACTTTAAATCATTATTAATAACATTACCGGATGGATATTTTAAACTTATAGTTGGTTTTTAGTCGCCTATTCGGCATTTAACATATTTCAGATTTTGAATCAAGAATGCAATCGGCAGTTTTAAAATAGTTTACTCCCCATCCATTTATTTGATTCCTAGATTCACCCATTTTTAAGTTGTTTTTTGTTGTTGTTGTGTTGTTGTATAAAAGCCCGTCTTGCACCATTTGCCATCTTGCTGCGTTTTTCCCTACCTTTTTTAAGATTTCATAACGCAATAAAATTTTAGGTATGCATTACACGACAAATTTACATATTTTAAATGGACATAACGCAATAACTACTTATTGTAGATTTAGATTACGCAATAAATACTTAATTTATGCTTACGTAACGCAAAAACCACTCATTTAAGGTTTACATAAAACAATACTTGTTTTATGTTTACATTACAAAACAAATACTTGTTTTAGATTTAAATTAAGCAATAAATACTTGTTTTAATTTTACATTATGCAATAAGTGCGTAAAGGAGAAAGGGGCACCATAATACACTTTTAGTTTGTGCTTGGTAACAATTTTTCTAATACTCTTTTTTTTAGATGATTGGTTTAATTTGAGGAAGAAATATTTGCCTACTAAATTAAATTTATAAATTACTAAAGTATAACAGTTTAAACGTGTTAGACTATTTAATATTAAATTAGAAATTTGTTTTAAGGTGTGTATCAAGGTACCCCACCCACGGATACCTTGATACACGTTATGAGCATATTAAAAAAGTAAATAAAAAGGTAAAGACGTAAATAAAAAGCAGATTTTTACATAAAAGATAAACGCATTAATATTTATAACTCAAATAATGCATCCAATCGTACAAATCACATTTCAAAAGACCCGATAAAATATCGTTTTAAATGTCATTCTAAAGCATCAATAAATGATGACTTTATATCGAAAATAGATCTCCTAGTATCATATTTACATAAATCTTTTGAAAAATGACTATAAATATTCAAAAAAAAAAAGATTTTTAAATAGATTATGACAAATTGAAGTACTATTCTACAGTTTTAGGACCCCCAAAATTGCTGTACCAAGGTACTCCATACTTGTTCATAGAAAACATTCGTTTTATTTTTAGTATCAACTTATTTTTTCAATGAGTTTATTTAATTAAGTAAAGACCCTATGGATTGTAGTTTACAAAATAATGTTACTTACCGACAGATGCATTGAATAAGATACCATATAATGATGACCTTGTGAACCTGTCCACAGCTTTGTAAACCAATTTAACGCGCTTTGTTATAAATAACTAGAAATTTATAGTTATGTTGATGCCAGCTAAAAAGCTACATTATGCAGATAGCAACATATTGTAACAACATTGCTAGCTGAAAAGCCATAATATATAGCCATCAATTAGGTTTATATTTGTTGATACAAATGCCATTAATTAGAGATACCGAAATGATATTGCTAGCTATAATTAATAGCAACCTACTACCTACAGATTCGTTGTTAAGCTGTTCCTAGCTAAAATACGATATATTACCTTTGATATAGATAAACCAAATCTTTTGAGATGTACAAGTTTGGTTCCCCAAGGAGCGTTATTACCCGCTCTACGGACCGAGAGTAAAGTGATTTTGGGAAGAACGAAGATATTTTAGAGTGAAAGATAGAAGTTTTCGAGTTAGGAAGAAAGCATAGAGAAAGCGGACAGGATTGCACACGATGTTAGAAGGTGCAACACGTCATTATACACACTATTCGTTTAAGCCAATTATTGTATGTCTCAATTCAAACCTTTTTTTAATTAGGTTTAATTTAGACGTTTAATTAAGACTTTTGTGTTTATGGTTTTGAGAAATAATAAATTCTTTAAGTGGTATCTGCATTATTTTTTAGATATTACAGTCATTGTGTCATCATTGCTTGTGGTTGTATTATTACATATAAACATTAGCATGCAGGTTAAAAGGTGAATATTTTTGAAATGCATGTTAAAAGTATTTTGCTTTTACTATTAAGTTATTTACCAAAAATTTCTTTAGAAGAGCTTATCTGTTGCAAATGTTCAAAGTTGTGAGATTGGATAGGCACAGAGGAGCTTTTGCTTCATTTATATTAGTGTTCAAAAAACATCGTAACGTAAGTACCTTAAAAATACTTGTACAAAAACTGTAAAACCTAAAGAGTAATATTTTTTTCTTTTTGCGTTAATTCATCGACACTTAACTATGAACACATTATAAAGCCATGATTGAAGAAAATAAACTTGAGAGTAAACAAGCAGGAAAAAACTAACATATGAAATGTAAATCCTTTCCCAGACTTCTTATTTATATTCCAAATAGAAGGCCCGTTTAATGTTTTAAATTTTTCTTCTAAAGAACATGAAGTTAAATGTCTAAGTTCTACTGAAGGACATGGATGTTAAAGTTAAAAGTTCTTCTGAAGAACTTAAAGTGAACTGGATTTCTTGATTCTTATTATATCTCTAAATTTCGTGTTTTTTATTAACAGTTTTAAGTTTTTCTAAAAATAAGCTATTTAAAGTATCTTGGTTTTGTTTCTCGCTCATTTAGTAAAAAGTTGGCAATAGCACTAAATTACAACCCAGGTTTGCAATAGTGAAATTAACTTTTTAAAAATTATTTTAAGGTAAATTATTTGTAATAAAAAAAGACGAATATTTAAAGTTTAAATAAATAAGCCAAATTTACAGATTCAATTTAACCTATATATAGTAGCATGTGTTTTCTTATAGTAGCGTGTATTTTTCATACTTCTTAAGAACATATTTTTTTAAACAAGACTTTTAACAGAAATAAAATATAACATTGAAAAAAAAAGCAACAACTTAACATAGTAAGTAAATGGTAATAACCCAGTGGGTTATTAACATTTCAAATTAACAAATTCTAATTTCTTTTTACAATATTGTAAATGTGCTTACAATAATTTGCGAACAAATGGTTATAAAAATTTTTTAATTATGGGGGTCAAAACCATTGATAAGATCCACAACACGGATTGAAAAAGTGTTTGAGATTTTTGGGAAGATATTGGTGTTACAATTATTTAAAACGTTGAATGATTAATTTTAATTTTTGATTTCTAATATCAAAAGACTTATTCAAAAAAGCCTGTGTTGTTTGGCTACCTGTATTTTTAAAATAAATAACGTCACAAAATTAAGCTCAGTCTGTTCCCTACTACCACAACACACGCACACAAATAGTTTATCGAGTTTTTAGTTGTTTTTCCAATTAAATGTCTAAACTGTTTGCTAAACAAAATTTTGCAGCTTGCAACCATTCCAGTTATCATACATATGTTGGTAAAACGTTAGAACAATTTTGTGAATTACGTTGGCACAACATTGGTCGCTAACGTTGTTTCCATACTATTTTGATTACAAATGCGACGTCGCCAACAACAAAAATTCTATGTTGGCACAATGTTGTGTTTTAAGTTGGCAAAGTGTAATATTTTATGTTGATTCAATTTTGCAATTTTTAGTACGCACAGCATATGATGTGGCATTGTAACTATTGTACAAATCTATAGTTGTGTTATTATTTTTTAGTTTAATGAAATTGATTGATTTTTTTCAATATATCAGATATCCCAGCGAGCATACATATATTGGGCCAACGTATGAAATACTACAGTGAACGTCGACTGTTTTTTCTGATGAAAATCTAACAATATATATTATTAACAATAAATGTTATAATAACAATAAAGTATATTATTGTTAAAAAAATGACATTGGATCAACCTTGGATTTGCATTGGAAAAAACAGTCAACGTTCGCGATGATTTTTCATACGTTGGCCTGATGTATGTGTGCTAGCTGGGATAATTAACCAAAAAAATTTATCAACTAATAAGTAATAAAACAACTATGGAGCAATGAACTGTTATGATGAAAACGAAATTTTTTAATTTTTTGGACTATATATTTTAGATTTATTAAGTAAAATAATCAATATTAAAGAACTAGATCTTTATCACAATGATGATTTAATAGTAATTTGTAAAAAACCTGATTAAGATTTCAATAAAATAATAATGTTGTTGTAAAGATTTTTAAAAATATCAGGCTCAGTTGAATTAAACATAAATTCTAAAATTTATTTTTTAAATATTGATGTAAGTCTTTCAAAAAACTGAATGATGAATTATTGTATTCTAACATTATCTCAAACTATCCAACCCAAAAAAGAAAAAAGAGAAGAAAAAAAACAGCCACTCTATGAAAAAATCAATAATTTCACTGACTCCCAAACAAGGACAGATCTTAATGAATGCAAAAATTGGAGCCCTGCATCCTCAATCGATGCTGATTACAAAATAATCACAAAAGCACTGGCTATAAGACTTGAAAAAGTAATGGGGAAAATTATAGAACCAAATCAATCTTCCGGAATTCCAGGTAGAACAATATTCTCAAAATACATTTAGTCTGTAATCTAATAGATTATGCAGAATTTAAAATCCTACCTAGTTTCATTTTGTCAATAGATCAAGAAAAGGCTTTTGACAAAATCGATTGTGCGTTTCTGTTCTAGATTCTCCAAATATTCAATCTCGGAGAAAATTTTAGTATCCTTTATTAACACCTTATATTCAAAAGGTTCGGCACCGGTTCTGATTTGCGGTTTCCTGTCGGATTTTTTTTATTCGGAAAGGGAGTTAGACAAGGCAACCTCCTCTCTCTTATGCTGTATGTTTTTATTTCCGTAGCTCTTGATTGGGTGATCAGAGCAGACAACAGAAAAGAGGGTTTCCCACTACCAGGAACACCAAATCCCTTACTACAGCAGCACGCAGACGATTCGAACTCTTTTGCTTGGGACGTAAAATCTGTCCACTAATTTTTCAAAATAGTAAAACTGTTTCAAAAAGGAATGGTTCAGTGATCAATCCCTCAAAAACTAATGGTCTCGCTTGTTGGAGTTTTGATCCTTATGAACCCAGAATTGGACATCATAAAGTGGAACAATAACACCGTTTTCAAAATAACAAACAAATACTTAACAAAAGAAATAAGAAAATCCTCAAAACAAAAACAAAAACTTTACATAAAATATTAAAAAAAAAACTTAATTCTCTACAAGCAATACAAAAACTTATTTGAAAAAATTAAAAAAAATATATAAAATATGATATTATTCTAACCAAATGCAAAAATTTAATGGAGACTTGAAAAAGACATGGGACATTATGAAGGAAATAATTGGTAAAAGTATAACTAATTCTAGTAAAATGACTTCTAGAGTAATAATTAATCAAAAGGAATCAAACAATAAACTTCTAATGAACAAAAAATTTCTAATGAATTTAACAGCTACAGGGTTACTTTGTACTTTGCCAATATTGGTGTTGATCTTGCATCAAAAATTCAATGCTCAAACAATTCATTTAAAAATTTCTTAACAGGCTCACACTGCTCCTTAAACTTCAACGAACTAAACCAAGACGAACTTGAGATAGCTAAGAAATCACTTAAAATCAAGTCCCTAGGAGTCGATGATATCTCTTGCAAAGAAGTGATAGATGTTTTTGAGGAAATACGTAATCCTATTTACCAAATATTTAACTCATCAGTTACAACAGGTATTGTACCTGATTTGCTTAAAATCTCAAAAATTATACCAATCTATAAATCAGGAGAAGCCAACTCTTTAAACAATTATAGACCTATTTCAATCCTTTCGGTATTCGCAAAACTTCTTGAGCGAATTATCTACAATGAATTAAATAAATATTTAAAAACTAATAAAATTATTAATAAAGGTCAATACGGTTTCCAAAAGCGACACGCATCAGAGCATGCAATCCTTGATCTTTCAAATAGGATTAATAAATCATTTAAACAAAAAAAATTCACGTTAGGAATCTTTATTGATTTGTCAAAGGCGTTTGACACCGTCAACCATGAGATTTTACTGACAAAAATGGAAAATTATGGCGTTAAAAATAAAGCTTTAACTTGGTTTAAAAACTACCTTAATGACAGACACCAGTGTGTTATTATAGATAAAAAAAGCAACTCGAATTTACTAAAAACAAAATGTGGTGTACCCCAAGGATCCATTCTTGCTCCTCTTTTGTTTCTTATTTACATAAACGATCTCCCAAATGCCTCTAATATTTTCAAAACTATAATGTTTGCCGATGATACAAACTTATTTTACTCATCAAAGACTATTGAAGACTTATTTAAAAAAACAAATAATGAACTAAAAAAAATTAATATATGGTTTAAATCAAACAAACTATCTCTCAATATAGATAAAACTAAATATATTCTATTCCACTCTACTCAACAAATTAAAAAGCTTCCCCTTAACCTACCAACAATTAATATAGAAAATATAATCATCGAAAGAGCTAAAAATACAAAGTTTTTAGGTGTTCTAATTGATGAACACATCTCTTGGAAGCCCCACATCAACTATATAAATACATCAAAGAACATAGGTTAACTTTATATGGATGATCTTTCTTGACACAAAAAAGTCTAATACTCGTTTAATTTTCATTCATACATAGCTATTTTATGTATGCCAATATAGCATGGGGCAGTACCCACATAACTAAATTAAAACCGCTTTATCTGCGTCAAAACCACGCTTCAAGACTAGTGTTCAACAAAAACAAACTTACTCATGCTCAACCCCTACTGGAGCAAATGAACGCTTTAAATATTTTTCAAATTAATATTTATCAAAATATACTTTTCATGTTTAAATATAAACTAAGTCTGATTCCAGAACATTTTACAGCACACTTTTTTGAAAACAACGTAAACAAATACAATACAAGAGCAACGGGAAACTTTAAGATACTCTTTGAAAAAACTAAACTCTCAAAATTTTCAATAAAACATCGTGGTCCCTATTTATTTAACAAAATAATTTCTAGAAACGAATTGCTAATAAATTTAAACAACGAACAGTCTCTGAAAACAAAGTTAAAATCTACAATAATCAAGTTAAACAACTACAAGGAGTTTTTTTAAACTCCAAATTAAAATTTAAAAATAAAAATAATATAAAACAACCCTAATAAAACAAAAAATGTAACTTTTCAAAGGAAACAATAAAAATAATACTAAAAGGAGATTGTAACATTAA